ATTCATGTGAGAGTTATTCTTTGGGTAACCTATTTAAATAGGGCACCAGAGAAGGTCATATTGCCCTAACATATTTATTCAGATTGTGTCTGCATTTATCTGGGAAGAAGATCCATTGAAATTTTTCCAAGCTAGCCTAAAAAAGGCAAAGAAACATTGTATTAATTTATATGCTTCATAACACAGATTGGTTGGAGGGGGAAGGTAGTGACTGGGAGTCACACTCATTTATATTCTCTTGGAGATATGCATGATTATTTTTATGTTAAAACTTTAGTACAGCAATTTTACACACAAGAGTTTAAAACAGTGAACATTAAACACATCTTCTGGAAAAGTAAACGAAACAGAAAATAGTTTAAATTGTATCTAATTTTAAGACGGTGATAAAGATAAGAGAATCTTACAAATGTGCAGTTAAAGGACATTTTATTTACTGACAGATTGAAAACCATAACTTCCAAGTAGTACAAAATGCACCACTGAACCCAATTACAAAGAACTGGTGTTAATAATATACAATGTTTAAGCAATGCTACACTTATTTTTGGCAAAGTGCTGTATAGTTCAGTCTGTGTATAAAACTGACCATCTATGAACCAATCAGTATAAAAAATTTCTATAAAAACAGAAAAAAATTTAGACAGTGGCTCAAGAAAACAAGCTGCCGTTTATGCATAGATTGGTATACAGTATGTAACCTAACCAAAAGTCCCTTTTGAATTTTCAAGTTGCTGAAAAAAAATTGTGTCCAGAAACACATTAACAAGGCACATATTACATTTTGCAACACTATTCAGTCTCCATAACTGATGTCCTGTCCTTGAAAAGCAACTGTTCACAATTTTACTTATAAAAAACAAAACAAAAAACAAAGCCACTTAAAAAAAATAGTAACACACACAATTATTGATTAAAATTCAAAACCTGTGGAGGAAAATAACCAAAAATCAAACAAAACCACTCATACACACCAAGTCTGAAACCACACACCTCTAACCTCCCCAAGTACTGGTTTGGTTTTTAGAAGTCCACCTAGTTAGAGAACAGAATACTAAAACTTCAGGCAAATACAGAGCAGAACTGGGCAATTAACAGTTTATACAATTAAAAAAAAAAAAGTAAGAAAAATTCTTAACATACAAAAAACGTTATCTACTTAAGCTGCCTTTCTCTGAATAGTAACTTCTCCCACATGAAGGATACAGATACCTATATCTGTATGCTTTCTTATACCTCTCTTCCCACCCCAAACCACTTTTAATTGGTGTCAAAAATTTCAAGTGAAATTGGTATATGGCAAGGCTGACACCATTGTAGTATATAAATTTTCTAAATAAAGTATTTTACGTAAATTTCTAAGTACTAAACTAAGTGATAGGGATGACATAATATATTAGCATGACTCACAGCAGTGAAACCATCTATGCCTTTGTTTGCTAGCCCAGTTTTTAAAAGAATTCAACCAGTATGTATGGGCCTTACAAGACAGAATTACAATTTTAAGGTAACATTACAAATACAAACTAGTACCTCCCAGTACAAGGAGCAGTCTCTTAGCTGATCAAACACTAATACTTAGAAACTCTTAAATTCTCTCACTACTATTCTATTTATTTAAATCTAAATGTCTGTCTTCTAGGTGGAGTCCTTCATTTTAGTTGTTTGCAGCACAAAGAAAGTAAGGGTCACAAAGATGCCCTTCTTTGCTCTTTTTTTCTTAGCGTATGTAGAGGCAATATTATTTCCTTGAGGAGGAAGAGAAATAAAGTAACATTCAGTGAAGGCATGAAGATCACAAATCAGTGTACTACTGAGATTTGAGAAGCAAGAGACAATAGGGAATACTGAAAGGTCCTCTCAAATTTTAAGTAAACTGTCTTCTCACTAGAATAAAAGTATTGATACTATAGAAAGGCTTATGTAAACAGGAACAGTTTGCCTGGGTATCAGAAAAATATACAGGAAATAAATGTTAAAAACAAAATTTCCCTGCAGTAGGAAGCCAAACTTCTAATCACTGAATCTTCTGCAGACTCCCTCTTCCCCCAACACACACACAAGCAACCATATGAATGTATTGCCATGGAAGATAAATAAAAGGATGGTTCATCTTCAACTTACAGTGCAGTCCATAATTTCATTAATGAGAAAGAAAAAGTAATAAACATGTTATACATTATAAAATGTTTGATTAACAACACAAACTTTGAAACATGGTGCACTGTAAAAACTAAGAAACTCATTCAGAAGCACTGTGTGTATGTCCCATGTCATCCACAGTTTTTCCAAGTAGCATTCTATGTTATCAGTTAAAAGCTATCATAGCTACTAAATTCAGGGGGGGTCTTATTTCTTGCTGCTTGAATTGTAAGGGATGTGCACTAACGTGCACTGTAAACCACGAATATTTGCAACTGCAAAAATAATCAGTTGTTACAATAAGATGCATTTTGGCCGTGTTTTAAAGAGTGCTTTAACAGGTCAGCATAATTCTGTGTTTTATTGGCCTGTGTCTTGAATATGGTATTTGTCTAAAAAACATCTAATGACTAAGAACATCAGCTGAATGATATAAACCATTTTCTTCAATTCTTACATGAGCCAATTTGAAACAGAAACGTTTACATACTGATACAGAAACCACAGTATGACATCACAGATGGTATGGTAACCCTATCCTGAAAAAAAAAGAACTTCCAATGACTGAAATAATTTGTTTTCCAGGTACAACAAAGTATACAAACTAGGCCAAGATAAGGCAAACAAAAAGTCAATATAACAACAACAAAAAAATCAATGGAGGTGTAAATATATTTAATGGATCAGGAAACATGGGGGGTGGTGGGAAAGACCTATTGCAGCTTTATATACAAATGAGTTCATGCTGTCAAACAAATTCTCATGACTGAACTTTTCTGTAGCTTTTGAGGTACTAACAACTTGCATGTAATGATGAAAGAGACTCCATGTATTTAGACTTACATCCAGAAAATGTTTAGCTGGCCTATTTTCAAGTTGCCAACATATGGCCTTATAACAGACATGGTGTAAAACACACAATTTCAGGAAAATGCTACCTTATCTCTCAACTCTGGTAAACAAAAATATTAACAAAGTAAGTTCTAGCTCAATTTGACAAACTTTATAGACTTGGCCCCTAATTAGAAAACAAATAAATAAAGGGGTAGTCAAAACAGAAGGGGGAATAGAGAGAGAAAGAAGTAATCTAGACCCTTGTTCTAAAGGAACATTCCTGGCACTATATCACAGCCAGTGGAAGAACAACCTAACAATGCCATCTAACTATGCTATTTGCCCCTTCAATTCCAACCATTTCAGTTAGAAAAGAGCACAGCTCTTCACGGAAGAATAAAATAAAGCCTCCCATGGTTCCCTGCATCAGACTGCTACAGGGATACATTGAAAACTGTAATACTTCACTATATGCTTTTTTCTTGAAAACATTTTATAGACGTGTACTATTTACTTAGGGTTGGCAGAGGAGATAGAAATATAAGCTGTTGATGAAGGTGATACTACTGTCTGTCAGATTGTGCTTTTGATTTTAAATGTGTTTAATTTTAAGGGGAAGTCAGTCAGAGTGTGGATGGTTCAGCAAAGCCCATCACAACTAAATACAAAGTGTCTGGTGAGAGGTAAGGGAATAATAATCTTTCTGTGTCAAGTTAAACTGGCCTATGTGTGAAAAGAACCCTGCACCTGGCCTCATTAGCACCAACACTAGAGAACAATTGTGGTAGAAAAACCACCACAGGCCCCATGCCTATCATCAGATTCAGTAGAGAGGCCCTTGGAATTTCACAAAGGGTCCAGTTTTGGGCAGCACACACCCACTTCAAATCAGTATACAGCCCTCACAACAACTCTGTGAGTGAGATAAATATTATATTCCTCCCCTGTTGGTGAAAGAAACAGAGGCCAAAGTGGTTAAGGATTTTGCCTAAAGCCCAAGTAAAACAATGAAAACCCAAGTTAAAGAATGAAAACTCAAGGAAGTGAACTTGCCCTTTGCTTGGATGAAAAGCTGTTACCACACTCCCTCACACATCCCCATGTTTGCCACCATGGAGGTGGATTTCTCGTTGTAACTGAAAATACAAAGCCTACGTCTTCTCCTTTGGGCAGATATAAAAATAGGAAGTTAAGTGCTTGGAGGAATACTTCCCCAAGTATTGGGGAGGTGGGCAGAGCCGGCAGAAAAGCATCAAAGAAAATTAAATAATGGGCTAGTAGGCTAGTTATAGACATATATTTTTCCAAATATAATTTCACAGGTTTAATTTAATCTCTCTGCATATGAGACATTGTCCCACAATATCTGTAATGTCTGTACCACGTCACATCAAAATTACTGAATGCACTGTTCACTAAAACTCAATGTACCTGAATTCCAAAATAAGAACGGCATGACTAATCCAGAAAAAATAAACAAAAAACCCAACCCATACACACAGAATGTATCAAGTTTTCTTTCAAAAGAAAGTTCAGCTGTAATTCCATTATGTCCATGGCAACTATCGCATATTAATGCTCATGTTAGTGTGTAAAAATGTACTCATTATATACAGGAAAGATTATCAAGTACTGGTCAATAAAGTGTATGGCTGACCCTGAGAATAAATTTTTCCTTACTTAAAAGATTAAGTGATACAAAATAAAATGAAATTGAAAGATGCCTATTCTCACACATGGAAAGAAATGTCTTTAAAATGCTGACTAACTCATGTACACCTTAATAGATAAAAGACATTCTCAAACACTGCATTTGTATTGTTTTCTAAAACATTCTGAAAAAATTTACAAAACAAGGTTCAGAGAAAGGCATTATGTGATACACAAGTGTGTAAATCTGGTTTTCAAGATAGTGTCTAAACACATTGATAAAACTATGTGATTGGTCATTAGTTGGCTGTAAAAAGGCAGTATCTTTATTGTTCATCCATACACACACACACACACATATACATATGCACAAACCAAGAGAAGCCAACCAACAGAACTCGAAATTCTTAATAATTGTACTGACGCGGGCAGGGCTGATGAACAACCCAGCCATTGTGCTTAACTTGTCGAGAGTGGAAATCCCTGGTAAGATTTTGGCGACGAAGGCTGTTTCTGGTCAGAGACTGTCTATCACTATGTTCTTTAATCCATTGGGAAGGGCGAAAACTCTTGGGCTGCTCCAGAAAAGTTGTTTGAGCAGTAAGAGCTGCAACATAGCAATGAATGTGCTGCCCTATTTCATTCTGAGCTTCCACTCTGAAACAGAAAAAAAGTGGATGTATTAAATAAAGCATAGCAATGCTAATAACAAAAATCAGAAAAATTTCCAAATAACAATATACAATTTTCCCTCCAAATCATATATCAAGATTTTTCCCCCCAGAATTTTGGAAAATCTTTTCACTGTCTGCAATGTGAAACTAAGGTGCAAATATTTGTCACCTTTATTGTTTATTCTATTGTAATACTACTAGTGTTTTTACTTGTTAAAACTATTATATTACTTTAATAATAAAACTGGAAAAGTTAGGGAGCAAATCAATTTCCCACACTAATTTGTGTATGGCTGAAGAAAGCTTAGTGTGTCATGGCTGACAAAAGTTTGTATTTTGTGACCACGATGACTAACAAGAAACCTACTCAAATACCAGGCAGGTTTAAGGTAAGAGAGCAGTAGAGGAGGCACGCCAACTTTCAATGGAAATACGTATGCTACATATCCACAGATGATTAATTAAATACTTATTTTTTTAAAAAATGCTTTACTCTTTGAGTTTCAATTACAGTATAAATTCACACATATGTGCTTACTGAATATCTACATTTGCAAGTTCTCTTATAAATACTGTGTATTTTAATTCTGTAATCTTAAGAGGTAAATGTTTTAATCTCAAATTTTACTGACTGATGATAAAGCTGAGACTGAAAGAGGTTAAGGTCACAATTAGTTGACTCAAATAGGATTCTGGTACAGGTCTTACTCCAAAGATCATGGCAATGAAGCAGGGGTAATAGTGAAGCACTATGTCTGGTGTGGCACTGAAGGATAATGCACTAGACCACAAGTTAGCTTGAACCGCAAGGTCAGCAGTTCAAACCCACCAGCTCCTTCTCTCAAATGTTCTAGGACACAAGCTTTGAATCTGTATTTAATACATCTATGAATAAGAAGTTCTATTCATTTAACATTTTTCTAGTTAAGAAGCTATTGCACATTAGAGACTACAACGCTAACTTTTTATTTATATCATAACAAGACATATTTTGGAACGGCATTTACATGGCAATGTTATAAAGACCTTTGAACATAAATCTTAAAATATGGCTACAGTGCAATGAATTATTTAATATGGTTCTTTTAGCCATGGTCTTTGTAAATCCCACCAAATAAGGCTAGGTGAGACTATGCAGATGGGGTGCATTTCCTCTTTTTCTGATGGATCTGGGTAAGAGAAGTAAGGAAAGATGCTGATAAGATTATAATTCAATTTCCAGTGACTGTTAACAAAGCTAATGGTGATTATACAAACTTGGAACTTAATGAGGGGATTGGTCAGTTTTGACATCCTGCTGGGTATTATTAAATGAGCCATCTCAGCAACAGAAGGGGGGGTGGGAGATCTTACTACCATCAGGTAGAGCCAGGAGTGCAGCATGTCCTTTGGATCCTGAAACCCCTGGTGTATTGAACCTCCTTGATCCAGGAACAGAAAACTGTTGACACCGAGACATGACAGAGAAGCAGAAGCAAGAGCCAGAGCATGACACAGAGCAGTGGGCTTCCCACTCCACATAGCCAGTACAGCTGAGTGCCTTTGGGCAGGAGGCTCACTTGCAGAATGGGGTGCCTTCCACATATTTAATTGAGAGTTAGGTTTGCTGACCCAGGGAGCTACAGTTGAGCCCTTTTGGGCTGAGACTTACAGTGGACTGGTGTGTCAGTATTTGTCGGTATTTTATGGGCAGCACTAAAGCAGCATTGTAACATTGCCTGAGTAGGGCAGTAGGGCAGAATCCAAGAGCCTGAGAGAGAGGTCTGTCTGTGGGCATCATTGGGAAATGGCTGTCTTGACCAAAGAACTGTATCCTGAACATTTCTGATCCTGACTTGCACCTTGTTAACTTCTCCAGTAAACCCCCTAATCATGAATATTGTGTGAATTTTGTGTGGCCATTGTAATGAATCACTGAGCACAGTAGAAAAGTGGAGTGCTGTGGTAGGACAAGTGGTGAGAGCATCAGTAAAGGAGAGAAGAGGGTGGAGGCATGTCTAACCCCCACCTCATAAGAAAAGTCCAAGGGCTGATGCTAATCGTGATTCACTTCCTCCCCCACTTTTGAGATCAGAAGAGGCCAGACACTGCCTCCATGCCATTCTTAAAATGACTATAAACAGTAGGACTGATATGTTCTCTATTAAAAGCTAATCAAATAGAATTGATATCAACTGTATACATATATATGTAAAGGAGCTCTGTAAGCGTAGTGGTTACGAATTGGGCTGCAAACAGCAAGGTCAGCAGTTTGAAACTGCCAGCTGTTCCATGGGCTAAAGATGAGGCTTTCTGCTCCCATAAAGATTTACAGCCTCGGAAACCCTGTACAGTGTCTCTATGAGTCGGAACTGACTCCACGGCACTTAATAACAACAACAACAACATATGCATATGTAAGGAGTCCTGGTCTGGCACTGTGGGCTAATGCGTCAGACTGCAAAGTGGTTTGAACTGCAAGGCCGATGATGGTTCAAGCTCACTAGTCAGTCCTTGGAAACCTTAGACAGGGTCACTATGGGTCGGAATCAACTCGACGGTACTTAACAACATATATTATGTATTGAGGAGTTCTGGTGTGGCGCCACAGGATAAGCACTTGAAATCAAGGTCAGTTTGAACCAGAGTAGGCAGTTCAAACTCACCAGCTGCTCCTCGGAAACCCTATACAAGGTCGCTATGAGTCAGAACTGACTCGATGGCACTTAACAACATATATGTATAGAAGAGTTAAGATTTTTAAGTTATTTTACAAAGGAAGGACAGTTTAATGTTCTGCCTATAATCACTTGAAGGAAACATGATTTTTTTACTGTACAATATTGTCTTTCTAAATAGGATTTAAGTAAGCCACATTAGGAAACTGGTAGGAAAAAACAGAAATTAGTATAAAGAAAGTGGTTTTTAAAAGGTGGGCATCTTAAGTCCTTACCCTCCCTATGCAGACTGATAACCCACACCACACAGTCTCAAAGTGAATATACTTACTCTGTGCCAGGGAGTCTTATAAGCAGCTTTTCCTGGCCCTACAAATGTTAAATGGTGACTATTAAACCACTAGTAAGATTTAAAATGCTATTTAATTCTACTGTAAGGATGTGGTTTCTTCATTAAATTAGCTTACTATGGGTCATTAAAGTCACATATATTATATAGGCTTATGATAGTATATAACCCTTCAAAAACAATATTTATAAAGGCTACATTGCAATAAAATGCACACTCTGAAGTCACTGGTAATTACAAAGCACTTTGTCCTTTATGGTAACATCCTAAAGGATACACATGATGGAAGCAATCTAATTTTTAAAAGACATATGATTTCCTTCCTGGTCAGATGTTTACTTCATAGCCAGCCTTTCAATTTTGGTAACACGTGAATTCTATTTTGATTTAGTAGGCTTTCTCATAAGAATTTCAAATCCAAAATTAAGGACTTTTAAAAAAAAAGTTACTATTATGACTGTAATCATTTGCAGGACTTTCTATGTGCAGAAAGAATTCATACAAAGGTTACTGTTACTTTAATCCTTTACATATAGAAAAGTGCATTTGTTTAACTATCCTATATGTTAAGTCTATAACATGAATGCAAAAAAAGAATGAGATATAGAAAAGAAAAAAATCAACATTCTCACTGCATCAAAGATGCAAATACACAAAACTAGATGTCATGCATGGTCCTGAGCTGGATATTAGTTTGGACAAACTAGAAGGGGACTTCTAAATGTTAGTGGAAAAAATCCATTATCTTTTAATTCCCTTTTTCAATGAACTTTTTGAAGCCCCTCCTCATAAATGAAATATTTTTAGTTCTACTGAGGGAATTGGAGTTACGGTTTGGGTTAAGTAGGTGATGTGGAAATTTACTGAACAAAAAGGTGGAATAATACTGTCTAAAGAAACATTTAAAAATCATGTATAGCGTGATCTCATTTAGGTTAAAAATGTATGTGCATGTGCACATAAAAACAACCTGGAAGGATATGCCCTAGGGTGTTAAAATGGTATTCATGTCTGGATAACTTTGTCATTTAAAATTTTTAATTTTGGCATATTGCATTTCTGTTTTTCTGTGATACACATGTACTGGTTCTATATTATTTTACAAAGCTGCTGAATATGCGTATGTATAATACTGAAAGTAAATATACAAATGCCAGGTGATTTAAAGTGGTAATTAATCATACTAAATTCTTAAAATGGAATTCACTAGAGGTGAGAAGAACTTTTTTTAAGAACTGAAAAAAAATTATTTGAAGCATTATTGTAGATTTACTATTTGTTGTTGTTGTTGTTAAGTGCCATCGAGTCGGTTCCGACCCATAGCGACCCTGTACATGGTTTCCGAGGGTGTAAATCTTTACGGGAGTAGAAAGCCTCATCTTTCTCCTGCGGAGCAGCTGGTAGTTTCGAACCGCTGACCTTAGGGTTCGCAGCCCGATTCGTAACCACTACGCTACCAGAGCTCCTTAAGTAAATCAATTCCAAACTCCAAAAACACTACAAGTGAATTCTTTTTCTTTTTGGTACATGTATATGTTTATTCTTGTAAATGATCATTGAGACTTCAGAGTGCAACAAACTCTGGTAAAGCTAACAAATTAATGAGCTGCCTGGGCCATGTTTATATTTGGGAAACAGGAAATAGTAGGAGATATATATAATATAGTAGTTCAGTTAGCAGAGTCAAAGCCTGGACAATCCAAAGAGAGACCCTTTGGCTTACAGCACAAATTATAGGACTATTTGAACTGCTCTCAACCATCCAATTCATTTGTACTCTTGACCTTAGAGCAATTAAGTCACTGCCAGCATCCTCAAAATACATTAACACCATAGGGAACATTCCACTAAAGTGCATTATGGACTAGCTAGCGTTTGAGTGAAGTATCATGGTCATAAATTGTATTTCAGTGGGTGGAAGCATCTTGAACTTGTTCCATGGGAGTCTGCAAGTTTGTTTTGGAACACACCAATCTTCACTGACCAAGTACCCTCCCCTAACCTGTTCATGCCCCAACCAATCTGCCATTCTGCAGAGCTGTTCAGATCATTTTGGCTCCCCAAAAACAAAATATTGTTTGGGTTGGAAATCTTTCCTCAGTAAAGCAAAAAGCAACTCTATGATCAAAATGTTGTGGTAAAATCTAAAATGAACATGTTTTTTCATATTGTCACCCACCCTGTGGCACTAATGCAAAATGCTTCTGTGAATCTAATAAAACTACTTAGCATGTTTCAAAAACTTTGAATTGTAGTAGAAAGAAATAAACTGTTGACTGCCTGTGGAGAGAAGAAAATACAACGTACCTGGGACTACTTGGATCATGGAATTCTCCAGTCCCACAGCTGGACTCATTGAGACTGGGGCAGGAGTTATGCACAGCATACACTGACATGCTGGGATGTTCAATGAGAAGGTTTTCCATAGGACTGGTTTCCACCTTAATAGTGGTTAATCCACCTGCAGTGAAACATGGGGGAGGGGTGATAAACCAGCTCTCCTCCATTGGACAGGACTCAAACTGGAGGAAGCAGGAATCACTTGTATCAGCCAAGCATTCAAGAGATGCAGGTAAACAGGAAAAGACTGAAGGGTGCTCAGTAGGTGACTCTTCACTGATGTCTTCCTCCTCTTCCTCCTCTGCTGAGAACCCAGTACACGTGTCTAGATTGTAGTCCACAGTGTGTTGTCGAACAGTTCCATGGGAGGACGGTTATCACGTTGACCAATTATGAAGCCACCCATGAAATTCAGAGCACAGAAAAAGAAGAGATGGTACTGTCAGCTGATGTGTACATGCTTCTCTTATTTAAATTGGGGGATGGGGGAACACTTATATTCATTCATATAATGATCATAAAAAACAATTTCTGAGTATCTAGTGGAGTCCTGGTGTGCTGCTGCAGGATAATCTTGGTTTGAGCTTCAAGCAAGATCAGCAGTTTAAACCTACCAGCTGCTCTTCAGAAACCCTATACAGACAGGGTCACTATGAGTTAGAATTGACTTGACAGCATTTAACAACAACAGTGGAGCCCTGACGTGGCGCTATAGGATAAGCACTGGACGATAAGGTCAGTTTAAATCGCAAGACAGGCAGTTTAAACTCACCAGCCTCTCCTTGGAAACCCTATATAGGTTCGCTATGAGAACAATGGTGTGTATGAGATGGATTAAGTTTTTATTGTGAATTGAGTGATAGTTTACATGGGAGAATATCAGTTTTACACTCATTGTTTCGTTGGAATGATTACAATCTCCTCTGTGCATCATCATTCAACAGTATTTGCTTCCATTCTCTGTTGGGTTTTTTTTAGGGGGGTGGGTGGGGTGGGGTGGGTAGGATTATAATGGTTTTGTAGGAAATGTTTTGAGAATGTTTCTATACTGTTGTATAACTAATGAGCCAAATGGGTTACTGCTTGTCTAATATGACAGTTTCCTATTCAAGTGCCTCTAATTTTTTGAAAGGTGTGAAGTTACAAAACTTGAAAGTGACGTTAATCAATTTCACCAACTGCTCTGGCAAAGGATGCTTCTGTAATTTTTTTGGACATGTTCTTGTTTATTTACTTTTAAGCCTTAAAAAGCTAGAGTTATTAGATTACTTACGCAAAAACTGATATGTAAAACTTTCCACTTTTATGTACAGGCTAATTACTTAATAATACCTTACCTATGAAGTCAACAAGAATCCATTCATCATCTTCTTTCTCACTAAATTCTGGTCCTTGGTTGGGTGAAGGATCGACTTCACCCACAAACATTTTATTCAGCCTCTGGAACATTGTTAAGGCAAGATTGAGACTTTGGCTGGATGTCTTTATAGTTGCAATTTCAAAATCCTGTTTCAGTTAGCCCAATGGCACTGACAGGAGATTAAAGTGCAAAGGATGCGTATTCAACTTAGATGAGAAGCAAGAAGAGTCACTATCCCTAAAATGAAACAGAAAAAGGTTATTTCAAATGAGCATGTATCTATGTGTGTGTTTTTAAAAAGCACATGGACACGGACACAGACACAGACACACACATATAAACACTTAGAAGGAAGAATATGACTTAACCTATATCCTAAGGAGCTCTGGTAACGTAGTGGTTACGAATCAGGCTGTTAACCTTAGGTTCAGCTGTTCGAAACAGCTGTTCCACGGGAGAAAGAGGAGGCTTTCTGCTCTCGTAAAGATTTACAGCTTTGGAAACCCTGTACAGGGTCGCTATGAGTCGGAACCGACTCCACGGCATACAACAACAACAACCTTCCCTTTCTGCAGGAGTCAAACAGGAATGCAACATCTTTGTTTTACATAAGATTGTGATTGGAGGACACAAATGTAACCTGTAAAAATCTCAGGAATCTTGGATTAAAAGGGAAGAGTGATATTCAACTGCTATAAGTCTTCATTTGAATCTAGCAGGAGTGTCACCATTATGCCAGGCCCTCATCTTTCCCTCGTTTATTTCCCCTTCTGCTGCTCTGTATTTTATATATAAGTACACCTGGTGTGGCACTGTGGGTTAATGCACTGGACTGCAAAGTTAGTCTGAACCACAAGGTTGGTAGTTCAAGCTCACCAATCTCTCTTCAGGAACGCTATACAGGGTCGCTATGGGTCGGAACTGACTAGATGGCACTTAACAGCAACAATAACAGTTTTTAAAAATCTGTAATTATACCATACTTTGACTTTCAGAACAATTCCTATAGCTGGCACAGAGAAACTTACACTGTAGAAAATCAAGTTGGCATTGAATAAATTGGAAATACTTCCTTCTTAGTGTAGTGACTAACAGGTGCTGCAAGGCAAAGTACCTGGGTTCAAATCTTGGGTCTGCCAGTTACTTGTTATATAAGTCAGGAAATTAAAATACTTCAGAAGTAACTTCTAAAGGAGGAACCCCAGCCCTGTCTGATCTTATTCTAGGGTCCCAGATTTATATATCCATCCAGACCTGGCAATGTGATGAGCATCTCAAATCTAATGTCTCAAAGAGAACCTTTCATTACACCCCCTAAACTTACATACTCTCCTTCCCCGTCTCAGTAAGAGCAGCACAGCAGCAGTAATGGTTCAAGCCAAAAACCTAGTCGTTATCCTTAACACCTTATGCCCCTTACCACCATCTTCCCTGCTCCACAGCCGACCCCTTATCCAAACATCAGCAAGTCCTGTTTACTCGAGCTGCATGCAGAGTTTAAATTTGCCTACTGTCGCCATCACTCACATTCTAGTTTTAGCCAACCCAGTATCTGACCAGCACTTTCCCAACAATCGCCTAGGTCTCCCTCATCTTTCTCTTGTTAAAATGAGATAATGCAGGCAATGTACTTAGCTAGGAACTTGGCAAAGTTCTCAATCAATGTCAACTATGACTATTCTACAAATAATTGAGTACCTATTAAGCAGAAGGGTCGCTATGGGTCGGAACCGACTCGACGGCACTTAACAACAACAACAACAATTAAGCAGCAGGCATAGTAAACACAGGGGAGATGGCAGTGAATAAAGCCATCCCACCACCAAATGTGATAAACGCCAATGAAGGAAAAAGACTGTGTTCTTCAAACATTAACTTGGGTGGAGGTCAGGGAAAGCCTCTTGAAATAAATGAGTCCTGGTGTGGTGCTATGGGCTAATGCATCAGACTGCAAAGTTGTTTGAACTGCAAAGTTGGTGGTTCAAGTTCACCAGCTGCTCCTTGGAAACCTTATACAGGGTTGCTGTGGGTCGGAATTGACTCAACGGCACTTAACAAGAATCTTGAATGGTTGTAAAGATCAACAATGGAGAAAAGGGAGAAGGAACACTGTTGAAAGCCTGCAGATGAAAGAGATATGGCACCTTCGGTTTGGCTCAGGGTCTAGATGGAGAGATGGGAGAGCAGGGCTGTAACAAAGCAGACACTAGGATCAAGGAGGGTATTGAAAGCCAGAAGCTAAGGAGAGAAAGAAGGCAAGGATGAACCAATTTGGCCAACTGAGGGGGTGGTGAGACCATCTAGTGGGATAGAAATACTGTAGAAGGTTCAGGTTGGGCATTTGAGGCATGCTAAGTTTGGGATGTAAATCTGTAAATTTCTAGCAGGCAACTGAATAGAAGGCTCCAGAGTAAGCTCTCCAGTGGGGGCATACATTTGGGAGTCACCAACACAAAGATGTCAGAAACGTTAAGAGTACATGAGATCACCAGAGTGGTGAAGAATGTTTCACTAAACACTTATTTTTATTACAAGTAATAACCTTGACTCTGTAATGTGCAAATTGAGCCACTACAGTTTTTTTGGCACACTCTGTGAGAGTAAAACATTTCAAATACATGACATTTGAACACTTTTGTGGTTATAATTCACCCTCAACCATTAATTATTAAAAGCAGGTAAACAGGAAGTGTCACTTGCATAACCAGTCTTCCTGAAACTCTTCTGGATGGTAACACAGCCAAAGTATGAAGGTTGGAGCTCTGAATGAGAGCCCACATTCAGCTTTATGGTGCATTTTAAGAGAAACCAGAAGGAAAATGAGATGCATAGTAAGTTATATTCCCAAAGTCTGATGTAAATAAAGGCTTTTGAGAACAAAAATTCCAAAATGTTTCCATTTCTCTTAAATTATGGGGGTAAATATTAACTCAAATACAATTCTGTGTCTGCTGAACCCATTGAGGAAAGAATCACAATTCCCCAAAGTATAGGGCTCAACTCTGACCCTTCATCAGCTAAGAAGCTGCAGTTGCTGAGTGAGGAAGGGAGAGTCCTACATGGGAACTCTTGCTCAATGAGAAAGACTGAACCCTTGTCCCATCCCCCCACATCTATGATGCTACGTGAAGGCAAGGTACTGGGGCTCAAGTAGGATGATAAACAGTGCTGGGGCCACTGTGGTTGGGGCTGTTGGTCTCACAAATGCAACTGTCCATTCTGGTTATAGCCCCAATTCCATGTAATGGAAGCCAGCTATCCCTGGAATAATCTCTACTATAGGAAAGGCATCTCTGGATAAGCTCTCTAAAGAGTAGTCAAGTCATCCTCTTGGTTTCCTGAAGTCAGATTCTGTTTCTAGATGTCCCATGTCTCCTTCAAGGGCAACTAATTCCGGGTGGGCATTACTCAGAAGTCCATCCAGGTGAGGGAAGAACTCATCCCCCATCTCACCTGAGTCACGACTGGTACTTATCATGAAACATCTGTTATGAGAAGGACATAGGCTGGAACCTTGGAGAAGGGTGGAAATAGTGCTGGCCCGGATACAAGCAGATGAGGGTTCTGGCTTTGGCCCTTCCACAGGTGACTGGAACTAAAAATGTGTAGCTCCTTCTGAGCTTTGCATTCATCACTGGAAAGATGAGGAGACTGTGCTAAATAAATAACTTCTTCCCCTCCTGCTGCAGACTTCCAGCACGGTGAAGATGCCAGGTTAGACTAATCACCCAAGGCAAAATTGCTTTGATTCTGCTTTTGGTGGATATCACAATGGACAAGAGTCCAATATGCTAAAGGACCTTGATATTCTAAAACTCTATTGTCTGATGTGGTAGCCACCAGCTACAATAGATAGCTAGTGTGACTGAGGAACTAAATCTTTGTTGCACTGACATTTAAAAGCTGCTAATAAAAGTTTTTTTGGGGAAAAAATTACAACAATTTGAGTTTATGAATCAAGTTTTTCAACTAAAAATTTTGTGCCATTCAAATACAGAAATATAGGTCAAGTATTTCCAATGAAAATTTTGCATTCAAATTGAGGTGTGTAAAATATACACCAATTTCAATCAGAAATGTAAAATAGCTGCTTAATTTTTTAGCAGCTTAATAAGTTTTATATTGAATAAATAATTTTGGAACTATATTAATATAACTTGTTTCTTCCATGTTTTTTTAAATGTATCAACTAGAAAATTTGGGGAATGCAGTGGCTCCATATAATAAGCACTGGACTGCGAAACACAAGGTCCATGGTTCAAGCCCATCAGTGCTCTGCAGGAGAAAAATGAGGCTTTCTGCTTCCTTGAAGATTTAAAGCCTTGAAAACCCTCTGCAGGGTCACTATGATTGAGTCTAAACAGACTCAACAGCACTTAACAAGCTAGACATTTTAAACACTTGTGGCTCATGTTCTATATTTCTATTGGACAGCACTGTTTTAGAAAATGTCTCGGAACCCTTCACGGCTTATCTCCCACTGATGACCCAAGTGCTGTTCCTACCCAGTAAGGGGTTCTAGATGGCTCTGGTTCAATATGGAGCTAAAAGACAAAAGCAAAGCTTCAGACTCATTCTTTATCACATGGTCAATGTCTGTTAACATTTACAACTCTAAGGAAATGGTAAAACTGAAGTGAAAATGCCAGCGAAAGCATGTGTCTGAGGAGGACAAATTTACAAATACAGCTTTGGAATTTATTTGACAAGAAGGCTAGGTGGGGTAGTACTGCTGTAGTCTGAGGTACCTGCAGGCTTTCAGCTACAACCAACCTCAGCTCAGCAGTTTCTCTCCAGTGGAGGAGAGAAAGAAAGTGTCTGGCTGTAAGCATTCTAAGAAAGCAGCTTTGTTCCTACTCTGCTTGGCGGAAGGCATCTCACCACTCCCTTAAAAGAAATGGTTTTTCTCATAAAATGAATAAAGTCACATCAATGCAAGTGTGGAAAGTAAATAAACAATCTTTTCTTTGTTACTGCATTATTATAATCATTGTTAGCATATTAATGCATTTGTTCTAGCTCTTTCTCCTATTCAGGTTTCTTTTTAATCATAGTTGTAGTCTTGTGAATGTACAATTTTATATCCTGGTCTGTTAACATTTTATCATCAATAGTTTTCATATTACATGAATAGAAATGCTTTGTGGGCAGAGGAAGGTGGCTGTTTATTATGGGCAAAGACGTTCTAGTGGGAGAATTTAGAACTTCCAGACTTAGGAGTTGGTCTAGAA